AACCTATACTAGGCAGTGAACATAAAATGCTCTAAACGTACATTAAATAGGAGGATTTGATTTTTGCTTGGGAAGAGACTGATTAAATCTTAAATTGTTTTTTTAATAGCCTATAAAGGTAAAAAGTTATTACATATTAATATATGTTCACAGTAGGAAATTAGTTTAATGATTACTGGTTATCTTTCTATTCAGAGATAATCATTATAATATATCTTTTCATATATTATAAATGCAAATATATCTACAGGAAGAAACATAAAGGTCTTATTTTCATAACTAATATTATTTTATAAGTTTTTATTTTGCCAAGCATTTTAGGTGTTGTTCTGAGAAAGATAGAAACTATTGGAGTGATAACTGCGTCATATTGCAAATGTTTACTCTAATTGTATTTTAATATGTTTGTGCTGCTTTTCCAATTTTTATGTAGATCTAACTATAATTGGAAATGTACAGTCATGTTATAAAGGCGTTCTTCCAATGATGTGTACCAATTATTTTTCTACTATTTAAAATGTAAAAATGAAAGTATAAATTATTAATCTACCAGCTTTTAATTTGATTAAATGTAATGAAGGAACCTAATTTTATTTTTAGAATAGTTTTAATTATTTTTAAATTTCATACCCTGTAACAAATTTAAAACGCAACCTTGCACCCTAGTCAAATAGCTCAGTTGGTTAGAGCAGCATCCCAACATGCCAAGATTGTGAGTTTGATTCCTGGTCAGGGCACTTACAAGAAGCAACCAATGAATGCAAAAATAAGTGGAACAACAAATTGATATCTCCCTCCCTGCTTCCTTCCCTCCCTTCCTCTAAAATCAATAAAAAACATAATCTTGTAATGACAGAGCTCCCAAATTATTCACTTAAAATTTTCTTTCAGAGGTTTTTAAAATAACTTACTACATATTATTCTTTAAACAGGATATTTGTTAAAGAGTAAAAATTATCTATCATCCAATTGCCAGAGAAAATAGTTGTACTTTACTTACTTGAAATTACATTGTGTTTATACATTTTGCCACCTATATTTTCTCACTTTTTAAAACTTTTAAAACACTCTTTGTAAACCATGCTTTTAATGGCTCTTATGATCTGCACTATTATTGGGCACTTAAGGATATGTTTCCAAGTGTTGTTTTCTTTTCCATGTGTCATTATAAGTAACACCAGAGTTAACATCATTGGCATTTAATATTTAAATTGAATTTTGTTTTAGTATATTTACTGTAAAAACAATACATGCTCATTGTAAAGGCTTTAAAAATAATAGACAAATTCTGGCAGGTGTTGCTCAGTGGTTGAGCATGAACCTATGGACCTGGAGGTCACTATTTGGAAGGCAGCTATGCTCACCACTATACCACCAACGCGGACTGGAGGTCACTATTTGAATGCCATTAGGGGACATGCCCTAATGGGGGACACACAGAAAGCAGCCAATCAATTATTCTCTCTCATCATTGATATTTCTATGTCACTTTCCCTCTCCCTTGCTCTCTGAAATCAATAAAAATATATTTTAAAAATATAACAGACAAAAATATTATTACCCAGAGAACTACCCTTGGATGTATTCCAAATCTTTTTTCATTCAACAGCCATTTTTTAGTACCTGCTGCTCTGAGAAAGATGGAGTGATAGCTGTGTCATATTGCAAAAGTTTTCTATAATTGTATTTTAATATGTTTGTGATGCTTTTCCAATTTTTATGTAGATATATGTAATAGAAATATGCAGTCAGGTTAAAAACATGCTGCTTTAGATGTGACACCTGCTCTCCAGAATTAACATTCTAGTGCACATTTAGTCATATGTCATGTAAGTCTCTGAAGTACAGAAATGTGTATGCTTTTAGAAAGGGACTGTGCTACTTAAAGTTGCATTGTAATCTATCGGGTCTAGTAATAATTAATGTCGTTTTTTTTTTTACATTCGTTTAAAATCTTGCTTGGCGTTGACTTGTATTGACATAACCTTCAAACATGTATCTACAGAACGTGTGAAGTGCAATTAACAAGTTTTGCTTGAAAAAATTTGTGTTTGGTTTGGTTTTTGTTGCAAAAACTAGGGCTAAGAAGATGGCGGGTGAAAAGCATATTCGGCATTGCATGCTTTACGAGTTCCAATTAGGAAGAAAAGCAAGTGAGGCTGCAAAAAACATCTGTAGTGCTCTTGGTCAAGATGCAGTTAGCGCCAGAAAATGCCAGCGTTGGTTTGAGAAATTTCGTGAGGGAAATTTTTCGTTAGATGACAAGAGTGGTTGAGGCCGTGTGTCCAATTTTGATCAAGAAGCTCTTTAAACTCTTTTGGTGCAAAATCCTCAAATTACCCAACAAGAGCTTGCGACAACTTTAAATTGTTCACAAAAAACAATTTCCAATCAATTGCGTGCCCTTGGCAAAGTCCAAAAGTTTGGAAAATGGGTTCCTCATGAGTTGACCTACAACAACCGTAATCAAACGAGTCACAATTTGCAGTTCGCTCCTCTCTCATCAAAACCGTTTGCCGTTTTTAGAGCAAATTGTTACCTGAGATGAAAAATGGGTGCTGTATGTTAATTTGAAAAGGCGGCCTCAATGGTTGGACAAAAATGAGGCTCCGCAGCCCATGCCAAAACCTGACTTGCATGCGAAAAAAGTGATGTTGTGTGTTTGGTGGAATTTTAAAGGAATTCTTCATTATGAACTTTTACCATCTAACCAAACCATTACAAGTGCAGTGTATAGTGCCCAATTGGAAAGGTTAGCCCAAGCTTTAAGAGAAAAAGAACCCGCGCTGATTAATCGGAAGGGCGTAATTCTTCACCAGGATAACGCACGACCGCATACTGCAAGAATCACTGCTGAAAAACTGCGCCAGTTGGAATGGGAAGTTCTCCCTCAACCTGCATATTCTCCTGATATTGCCCCTTCCGATTAGCATTTGTTTTGTTCTTTGCAAAACTTTCTTCTTGGAAAAAAATTTAATAATGAAGAATGCCTCAAAAATGCATTGACCGAATTTTTTGCATCAAAATCACAAGAATTTTACAACAGAGGGATTAAAATGCTTCCTGAGCGTTGGGCACAAGTAGTAGAAAACAACGGCAACTATATTGTTGATTAAATTTTGTTGTATTGTTTAAATAAATTGGATTTAAAAAGTATTAGAAAACGACATTAATTATTACTAGACCTAATAATTTTCTCCTATAAGAACTTCCTTCCATATTACTGAGCCATCTTTTAAGGTCAGCTTTACTAGTTGCAGAAGAATTATCTGTGTGGATGAACCATATTTTACTTTACTAATCTATAGTCACTTTATTTACTAATTCCTGTTTCCTCTTAAAATCCATAAAATGCATGTTTTGCTTCTTTTTAATAGGATTACTAACATAACCTCCACAAGATACAGGCAGTGCTGTCTCTCTTCCTCATTCTTATAATATCTCTAAGCAGATCTCAAAGTAAGTTCCTTTGTAATATACCCAAATGTTATTTATTTGTATATTTAAAAGGAACATGAGTATACAGTACAAGGTGGCTATTTCTTCTATAGCCATAGAATTGTGAACTTTTCTAAAAGACCAGTTAGTGAAAAGTCTGCATGAAGATTAAAAATTGTATTTTCTCCTGCCTACTCTGATTAAAACTCTTCTAATCTGTTATCTGCTATCAGAAATAAAATCACTAGAAAGGCAAATTTGATTGATTGGTTGATTGATTTTTTTTTTTTAAGTGTAAGTTTGGTACTTACTCAACATTGACAGAAGGCATTATCAGCTTTGCTAGGTACTGTGACCGGCATTTTTAATTAACTGATAAAATATTAGAGGTGTTTAGTAGAACAATTAGGGAAGTCAACAAAACCACTCATTTTCTATCCTATCTTTCCATGTCTTTCTCTCAGCATAATACCACATCCCTCTAACACTTGTACAGAAATAAATAATATCTCCTAGGAAGAGAAGTAGGACATGGCAGAGTGGAAATAGTGCCAGAGGAAAAAGTGTGACAGGGCCACATGAGCACCCAATCATTCAGTGGCCTCGTCCAGAGTCCAAAGGAGTTTACTACATTGTTCATTAGCTAAGCTAAGCTTTTCAGTCCTAATATCATAGAATTCATATACTGGTTTAGGGCATTCAACCTACTGATCAAAGAACCTGGGTTCTTGCTTCAATTATTATGAAGTAACTACTAAGTATATTTTCTTTGCAAAAATCCTTGATTTTGATTAATCCATTTGGTTTTTAAAATCAACTTCTAAAGTGGAAAATTGGACTTCCATATTTATATTAAGAATAACATTTATTTACTAATTTTTATTAACTCATGGGATAGCCTCAGAGTTTTCCCAAAGCCAAAATAAATGAGTCACTTCATTGCCCATTTTGGACTCCTTCTGCCTGTGTGCTCCCTCACTTGAAACTAATGTCTGCATATTCCTAACAGATTTCTGAACCTAACATCATCTTCTATGCGCTCAAATATTTCCTAACTCAACCAAGTTAAGCATGTTCTAATCTTTTAGGGCCTGCTAGCTCTAGCTAACTGGATAAACTAATTTGTTATTGTTATAGTAGGTGTTAAAAGTAAATGTGTTCAGGGAATTAAAATCAATAAGAGTCTTTTATTACATGATATACATAATTTCCAGTAACTATAGCAGGCCAGGATCAGAGAAGAGATGAGACTATTGATCAAGGCGGGAGCAAACTAATGTTTCTACGCTTTAGGCTGTTGACAATTCTCATAGCTACAATGAATCAAAGAGGTAGTCTTATTAAAATTGCAGTAACTCAAACACAAAGCTTTATAGCTTGTTTCTAGTAATTAAACTAACAGGAGTTCTTGATGCTGTGTCTGTTAATGATCAGACTGCTGACCTAAAATAGTTCTTCTAGATAGTCCTAACATAACCTTTGATAAACACCCATCACTAATTCTCTTCATAACTGCTCTTCATTTTACAGTATTTCCAGCTTTCTTCAATCATTTTAGTACTATGAGTGAAGAAATAGTCATTGGAAGACTTGAGGAAGATGTAATTCTCCCTTGATTATTTGAGAGTGGGTGAAAAAGTCATAATACACGGGTGGAATCACATGATATTTATACATACTACAAAGAAAGTGACCATTTGGGACAGCAAGATCCCAGATACACAACCAGGACACCCTCTTCCTCAGTGAAATTCACAATGGGAATGCTTCCCTACCTTTCAGAAGATTAAGCCATTTGGATGAAGAAATCTACATATGCAAAGTATACTGGAAAACAATGAAAATGTTCATATGAAATTGTACAGTTAATTTTAATATGTTATTCACTTAACCCTTTGAGAACACAGGGATTAGATGAGCCAACCACTCATGCATTTGAAAATCTGTCTAAAACTTAAGCCAGTCCTTCACATACATGTATGCTCAATGGCAAGTTGACCCTTGAAGAATGTGGGTTTGAATATTGCAGGGCTATTATTTGTAATACTTTAAACAATAGAAAAATAATAGTGAATAATGAAAAATATCTGCAGGTGAGTGGACCCATGCAGTTTACAAGCTCTGTGTTTGAGTAATCTGTACTTACCTCTTGCCCATATTAATTGTATTTATCTATTAATTTATTTATTTATTGGAGAAGGGGCATTATTCAATGTGTTATTTTACCCAGTATTGGTCTTTCTTCCTCTGTAAGCTGCATCAGACCCTGACTCAGAAATCTAAGAATAATGTGTAAATAATATCAAAAAGACCGAGCCACTACCTGAGGGGTGCAGAGTACTGCATGAGCTCTAGTTTATAGACTTACACACCTACATTTTGGTTGCTCAGTGAGGCTATTAGATTTCATTCTATTGTTCTTTCTAGAGAATTGAGATTGCTAGTTGCTATGTATCCATCAATGCCCTTTTTTTACTTGTAGATAACATACACAATCTTACAGTTCTACAGTTTTTGTTTTGTTTTTCCTTTCAGTGACTACCAAGTTTTGCTCATAAAACTTATCTTTCCATTGCATGGATATTAAAATAATAAATGTTCTGCAAAGATGGCCTAACAAGAAGCTAATGATAACAGTTCCCCAAGAGCCCTTATTTTTCCCCCTTAGCTTTTGTCACACTGGTGATAAAATATGATAAGAGGAACACAAACAGCTCCATCATATGTGGTGTGTTACGTGTTTATCCTCGTCCAGTTCATACATGGCAAGTGGACAATATACCTATCCCTGAAGATAATATGGAAGAAATTGGGTATTTTGATCCTTTTTATAATAAGGGTAGAGTAAATATTATAAGATCAAATTTATTGTATGAATTTACTATTGAAAGTACATTGCTGAAGCAAATATAGACAGGAAGATGGACAACGAAAGGTAGGCTTCATGGGGCTTTCTGGGTACATGTGCTATGTCTGAGGATTGGCGCGGGGGAGGTGAGGAAATGATTTACAGGAACAGAACAGAACACAAAGAATAAAAAATGCATCTGAGACTGTTACAAGACCAGGACTGAAATCCCAGGTATAATATTTCTGGCTATTTTACTTTAAGCAATTATTTTTACTTTTGAACATTAGTTCCTCAATGATTAAATTAATGTAATTCTTACCTTGCTAGGTGTTTATGAGTTGAATGAAAACATTTGTGAAATGTAAAGTCGCATATTTACTCATAAATATCAATGTATTTCTCTATGGTTTATTCTCTGAAGATAATTTTCTACCTACATTGTACTTTAAAAGGTGGGAGGAGAAGGAAAGAAAGCTTGCTTGTCTATTACCAGGTCCCAACCTCTGATTCTTGCCAATCATTCAACTAAACAAAAGTTAACTAATTAGTATAGTTTCTCTTTAGTTTCTCTCTCTCTTTTTTTTTAATTATCTTTATTGGAAGACAAAATGGAGGCAGAATAGATGGACGTATCCTTGTTCTGGATCAGATAGAATGGATTGTTTGTCTTCCTTTTGTTGTTGAGTTGTATGAGTAGTTTATATATTTTAGAAATTAACCTCTTATCAGATGTATCATTGGCAAATATGTTTTCCCATACTAAGTCTCCCTTTTCATTTTGATGACTGTTTCCTTTAGTATGCAGAAGCTTTTTATTTTGATATAGTCCCATTTGTTTCTAGTTTTTTCCTTTGTTTCTCTCGCCCTAGGCCATATATTTGTGGAAATTCTGCTACATGGGATGTCTGATATTTTTCTGCCTATGTTTTATCCTAGGATTTTTATTGTTTCATTACTTAAATTTAAGCCTTTTATCCATTTTGAATTTATTATTGTGTATGGTGTAAGTTAGTGGTCTAGTTTCATTTTTTATTTTTTTTTGTATGTAGCTGTCCGATGTTTCCAACAGCATTTATTGAAGAGACTGTCTTTACACCATTGTATGCTCTTGCCTCCAGTGTCAAATATTAATTGAGCAATAATTGATCTCTTTGGTCTTTTCATGTAGTGTTAGCCCATTAATCTTTATCAATACCTTTATCATTGCATGAGCAGTTTTTAACCTTCCTTCCTCTCAGTTATTTGAACAAACCCAAACTCTGATCAATCTCTGTATTTATAACCTACTGTTTATGGAAAATTAATGAGAAGATAAATTTATTTGATACTGCTTATCCAATTCTAAGGAAATATTGTTTTATATTTCTTAGAAGCAAAGCAAGATTTTTCTGTAAATCTCCATTATACAGGGACTTCTCCGTTATACAATACTTTTCTGTAAATCTCTTTTTCTTTGTTTCATATTCTCAAGATGCCCACTGAAAATATACTAAAATTATAAGTGCTTTATACCTTTACATAATTTGAATGCTAAAGGCATGGCCAGCCAAAGTCCATTTTTCATCAGTCAGGCAGCAATAGACACATGGAAAACAATAAAAATTTTCATATTAAACTGTAAGTACTTTCTATGGGAAACTGTATTTTCTCATGTTTATTCATAATTGAGTATTGGACAATACCAATAAGTCCTTAGGCATCATGCTTTTTGTCTTGTTGATGATTTATTATGTGCTAAGTAAGGGTTGTTTTATCTCAGACTGTGAACTTAAGAACAAGGGCTCTTATTTCTGCATCTGTAGCATCTACTATAAACCATGTAAAAATAAAATTCAACCAGGAAGGATGCATACAAAGGTAGCAATTCTATTCACCATGGTTGGGTATGCATGGTGTAAAGAATATCCTTAAGGGAGTTGAATAGGAACAGATTTTTTAAAAATTTGTAGGAAATTTTAGGAGAACATAGGCATTCCAGGTTGAAAGAAAAGATGCATTATGTGCAAAGCACAGGGGAGTAAATATTACTGGCTTTATGAAAGTTTAAGTGTTGACAACAAGGCTAAATTACCAAGAGATGAGCCTGGAAGTACAGGAAAACCAAATGAAAGGCCTTCTATACTTTGTGAAGGAGTTTGACCAGGGTCCTGGAGGTAACAAAGAAGCAAAGAAGAATTAAAACATCAGAAAGATGCTGAACTTAAATTTTAGATGATTTGAGGGGCATATTCTCTTGCAGGTAGATTAAGTAGTAGGTGAATCTAGAGCCCGAAAAAAAAAAAAATCCATGGCAGTCCACAGAAGTCAGCCTACAGAACTACAGAAGGACAGGATGGGGTTCAATCAGGGAGTGGGGAGCTGAAACTGGTCTGTGAGGTCTCAGATTCTATTCCAGTCAAGGGCATGTACATTGGTTGTGGGCATATCCCCAGCAGGGTGTGTGCAGGTGGCAGCTGGTAGTTGTTCCTCTCTCATTGATGTTTCTAGCTCTCTATCCCTCTCCCTGCCTCTCTGTAAAAAATCAATAAAATATATATTTTTAAAAAATCAGGGAGTGGGGAGAGGCAAGCCAGAACACCCAGCACAGTCCCTGCTTCAAACAAGTTCAGGCCACGAGGAATTAACACACATTTGGAAATACACTGCTTATGTAAAGAAAATAACTTTGTCTAGAAAGAGAGAGTAAGATATGATTGAGACCATAGAAGTAACAAACAACTAGGGAGTAGACAGAGTGACAAGAGAGGAGTCCTGGAGAACACCAGCATTTGAGAGGCCAACAGAAGCAGAACAGTGAGTTTAAAATGTTGGTAACTGGTAGCAATGTTAATATCGGGTGCTCATGCCTGAGTGCTCACTGTCAGGCTGTAGGTGTTAAAACCCAGGCAGTATCACCTCCCTAGCTGGCTTCAGGGCTTTAGAAATAGAGGGGACATGTATGTTTTAAGACTCTGTGGGCTGAGCATCTTCAGTTCCTTTTATCACTGTGCCTAATTATGTTCCTTAGGGTCCAGGATTAGGGGAGTTGAGGCTGTAGGCACAGTAGGAATTTCGAATTGGGGCTCTGCTGGATGCTGGGGAAGCACAGTCCGTGAACCTGGAAGAAAGAAGCCACCAAAGGACATTTGAAACACTGAGTGGATGCCTGATTCAGCTCATTTTCTTTTTACCTCTACTGATAGCTAAGTGCCAAAACTAATTATTTGAAATATCTCTAGTTAACTATTCATAGTGGAATGTGTGCTCATGAAGCTGACTTTCTAAGTGGGTTGGTCGATCCTCTTACCCTTCAACTTGACATCATGGGAGACCACGGCGCCTCTCTTTTTATTATTTAATAAAGATATTTGAGTCGATGGAATATAGTTTAGAAATATTTTTATCATATCATCCTACTTGTGAAAATTAGTAGGAATAACATATTTGGAGGTTTGGTGATTCTATGTAATAAGATTTTGAGATTAAGAACCAAGAGCTACCTTTAGGTTAAGTGGTCTTCAAATAGACAAAAGCTTCTAGACAGTAAGTGATAACACTTTCTTTGTAGAGCTGCCACTTTGAGAATACTGAAAACTGGGATGTGAAGCTATTTTTCTCCAAAGTAAAAGTGCCCTTTTTATGTAAAATACAGTTAAGCTTACATCCTATTTTCAAAACGCTGCCTCATATTGGATTCATTTTGGAGTGTAGAAAAATTATTAGGAAGAAATGGACTGCAGACCACACATGGCCCATCTTTCTAACCAAAGGTCTAAGTTTCGGTTTACACAAAGAGGAGCCTTAGACCAATCCAGCTTTTCTGTCTTTCCAAGTAAACCTTGGCCAGTTGAGAAGAGACGAGAGTCTGCTCAAACTCCTCCCTATTCCCCTAACCCACCCCAGACAGAGGTCTGTAGCAGAAACTACCCCAGCAGGCAAGAGAACAGGGCAAATAGTACCGGTACTTTATATTTCACTCTTTCAAGGAAACTTGGTTTTCTATTCTGAATGGCAATTTTCTACTTGCTGCCTTTTCCAGAACATGCTGCAACATTTGAAAAGGAGGCCCAGATAGGGATGCTTGTTATTCCTGGAGTTGAGATCTGCTAGATAAAGTTTACACTGAATTGAATGGAATTAAATAAGTCTTGCTAAATTTTGCTGCTGAATCAATATGTGACCTTGGGCAAATCTCTCCACAGATGGGGGAACTGAAGATCACGGATAAAGTGAGAAGCTAACCTTGCAGGATTTCCTTCAGGAGGAAAAAATATGCATATAAAAACATGTTGGAAAGTTAACATTTCTACTTATTAATTCCTTCTTTACATGGGTATTGAATTTCACATTGACACAAATACGTGGAGAGATTACTTTTTTATTTTAAAACATTAAAAGTGTGTTAATTAAAAATGAGATCTATTAGGTAAAGCTGTTCATCTTTAAAAATAGCCATAAATATTTATCCCCGTGAATTGGGCTTTGTGCTCTAATCTTGCTCACTACTCTTGGGTAGACTTTAGATCACAAGGCTAATAGATTCTGACTTTGATAACATTAGGACTTCAAGCTTTTGTTTTCCAGGATCCCTGCTTCCTTTAATGCTAATTACAATTCTGGTACTACAGGGATGCTGGGAAAAGTTCAGGCTTCTCCAGTTATTCCCAAGGAGCCTCAAGTATTATATATTATCTCAATGGTCACCTCTAACCTCTCATTCAATGCCATAGCTCCTACTTAGATCTTCCCACCACCTCCGCACTCATCACTATTTCTCTAGGAATCCGTCTTTTCCAAGCCAAGGGTAAACTGCACCCTCTCTTATCTCCCAAGAACAACACTGGGCTGAGGCTAGTTTGTAGTCATAATTGTTCCTTTGTAAAAAGTGCATTAATTCTCTTACCACAATATAAAACAAAGGAAACTTAAATGCATAATAAACTCATTGCCTCTCAAGTTTTCAGGCTTTTTCTCTCCTGACTCCCACTAAGCCCCAAATTCATTCAAATGACAGCTTTTGCAGATTCCCCACAATAGCGACATTGAGACTGGGAAGTATTAGTTATGCTCATAAAACTAAACAAAAAACAAAAAGCACAACTCTCTGGTCCAGACAGAACTGTCTTTTCACTATGAAATGTGTTTCCACTAATATGAAATTTGCCTGCCACCCGCAAGGCAAAAATAACTGGTTTTCAAAATAGTAAGCATACCCTACCCACCCACCCACATATTTTCTTTATCTTTTGGTAATGCTTCTCCTAGCTTATAGACTTCTTTGTTTGTTTTATTTAGAACTGAGTCAAAGAATAGCCTTCGGGATCATCATTCTGTTTTCAATGCTTTGGGAGATTTTGGTGGTACGTAACATCCTAAAGTCAAGAAGATGCATTTATTTCATCAAAGGTGATGCCTCATGGAAGATTTGGTTCTGTCTCTGGGTATTCAGCTTGAGGTATGACATACACCTGCATCTTCTGGGCATGTAAACAGATCTGAATTTTCTGGATTGTCATTTGTAAAATTTGTAAGAAATATTTTTTAATGCTCATACATTTCCACCTACTTATTATAAGTCTGGGAATTTATTCTGAGTTTAATGGTCTGAGACACACCAAACTATATATATAAGCACATTCACTACAGCATTTTTATCCCAGTTTTTATACTATTTCAATAAATCCCAGTTTTTATACTATTTCAATAAATAATAGAGGATTGGGTTTAATCCCAGTTTTTATACTATTTCAATAAATAATAGAGGATTGGGTAAATTAATTTGGCATCACATGTTAGTTAAGGGTTTTTGTTGTTGTTATTTATTTTTACTAAAAAAAAAAAAAAAAAAAAAAAAAAAAAAAAAAAAAGGTAAAAAGGATTTTGGGAGTAAAATAATGCCCAGGGTGGTACCAATTACCTTGCATTGAGAAATAGCTGGGGAAAAAATAATCCAAAGCTTTAGAAATGGTTGCTCATGGAGAAAGGTTGCCCCTCTCCATCACTCACTTGCCCAGGTATTTTATGGACTTCCTCAAGTCCCTGAACTCTGTTTTCTTTTTCTTTGAGTTTTGTGTACAGTAACCACTTCTTGAAATAGCGTTGTCTTTTATGTGCCATTTATTTTAATCCTTTTAAAATAAAAAATAAAAAGTTTTCTAAATTTTCTGCAACAAACAGATGGATGTTACTTAGAGCAATTTTAATGATATATTAAGATGCCATTGTCACATGACTTCTTAAAAGATTTCACCTTTACCAGCGAAATTAGATCGGGGGGGGGGGGGGAGGGGGGAGGGGGCGGACTTATTTCCATATTTTGCAGATCAGGAAACTGGAATGTAAGGTGTTAGCTCAAATGCTAAGGAGGCAGGTGGAACAAGACTATGTCTACCTAATATGACCTAGCTAAGTAGCAGCCAAGATAGATCTAGGCCCCAAGAAACTCTCCCTTATTCCATAATTCTCCTGAGCAGACTCTGAGTGTCTGGGAGGTTGGACTAGGTACTATGTCTCTTCCCCTGGTTGATATCTGCCTATCATTTCTGTGGAAGTTAGAGGATTTGGTCATAGCAGAAACCATTATTGAAGATAAGATTTTAAGAGTGACTGTGAGCAGGAGTTTCACCAATGTTAACTCTGTGATTGTACTGATACCCAGGTAGTCCCTTACTTGTTACTACTATTCCTTAGCTGTCTGGAAATATTGGATGTGGGCATAGGTCAGGCCCTAACAGCAAACACCTGGCTCACTCAGAACTGTACAAAGGGGAGCACAGAAGATAGTGCATTCCCCCAGAGATGGGAGCAGCTGACTCATGAGCAAAACTAACTTGAAGGGATAAGGAAAAGAAGCAGTTCCCAAAACCTGGAGAGTCACATAAAAGCTGCTGTCATGTTAGAAGGGTGACCTTCACTTGAAGAACACAGCCAGACCAAGATGACTCGAAAGGGAGGAGCTGGAAGAATAAGCACCTGATTTCACTCTTCCCTCCCTATGATTTCCACTTCAACTGGATGCCAGAGGGAGAGGCCCCGTAGATAGAACCATCCAGGTGAGCTTCCCATGGCAGAGAGCAAGATGGATACTGATTCTGGAGGAGTGGTCAGGAGAGATCAGCAAAACAATGCCAGGGTATTGGCCACTTAATAATAATGATAATAATAATAATAATAATAATAATAATAATAATGTTATATAGTTTTGTAGTTAAATGGGCTAAAAATATATTTCAAGCTATTGTACTAAAAGCCACAAACCTACCTCCAGGTTGCTGATTGTGGTTTTACGTAACTATGATTCAAATGTTTTCCTTTTCAATTATTCTGTTTAAAATACCCTTAGTCTAGGATAAGCATAAATTATACTGGGTTTTAGAAAGGCCTAGAGGAAAGGCCTTTCTTGAGAAGTGTCACCGTACTCTTCTTTTTCTTAATCATCACTTTCAGCTTTAGCCATCACCTCTTTGGCTATTTTCCATTGAACAGTTGGTAAGAATCAGGCCAACAATCCTAAAGAGCTGGGAATTCCTGGCCTGGTTGAATTGGCTTTATCGCCACTTTGGAGCACCTTAATGAGCCATAGAATTTACTGCTGTTTGTTTCTGATGAAGTATTTCTGCACTGAATGCATTTTAAATATTGTTTGTTGAAAGAGATATGAAAGGGGAAGTAACTGGAGTAACTCTAATAACCTAATTACAGACATACCTCATTTTTTGTGCTTCACAGAGATTGTGCTTTTTGCAAATTGAGGGTTTGTGGCAACCCTGTGTCAAACAGGTCTATTGGTGCCATTTTCCCAACAGCATTTGCTCATTTCATGTCTGTGTCACGCATTGGTAATTCTTCCACTATTTCAAACATAGTGCAAACATAGCTTTTATGTGCCCTGGGAAACCCAAAAGTTTGTGTGACTCAGTTTATTGTGATATTTGCTTCATTGAGGTGGTCTGGAAAAGAACCTGCAGTATCTCTGAGTTGTGCCTATATACTGATTTAGAATAAGGAAGAATGAATGTTTGCCAAGATTTTACAGAAATTTCCTACAGAAAGAAGTTTTGTCTCTATGGATGAGAGAGCTAACTATGCCAATAATGAAGAAAACACTGTAAGAGATTT